AAATGTCTGTTAACTATTTTAAGCAATATGGCCCAGGAAATTATGGAAGCTAACTTTAAGGCATTATTTTTTATTAGAAAGACATTGAAAGTTTGACTATAAAGCTACCAGAACTCAAGAAATATGGTAGCCTCTTAAGGGCAGGGGATTTATCATGTCTCACTCTGCTCTTCCCCGATTTCACACAGTACAGCAGGGACTCAGTGGTGACAGAGGGTCACCAGAGAAATTTGCCCACCTAACTCCCTATCGACACTGCAGAGAGCCAGTCCCTTTGGCTCTTCTGAAAGATAAGATACCGCTAATGACATTGACAGAGGACATGCAATTTTGAAAAAAAAGTTGGGGTGAGTCACTCCCTGTCTTTAGGAATGGAACCACTGAGGGTTGGAAGGCCCCACACAGGTCCTGACGCCTGGCAGCCTGTGATGAGTCCTATTTCTACCACTTACTGCAGTATGACCATGGGCATAGGCAGGCTCCCTGTGCCTCAGTTTACTCACTTGGAAAACAGAGATGACAAAAATAGTACACCCCTCATAGGGTTTGGGTGAGTATTAAATGAGCAGAGCACATAGTAAGTAGGCCCATCAAATGTTTATTATTTTCAAATATTATGATTTAGGGTGCAATCTCAGCCTCAGGTGGTGGCATTTTGCCCCCGCGGCAACTAAACGGGCAGCAGGCTGCAAGCATCTGGCACACTGCCACGACATTGACTCCTCTTTAGGAAATTAGAAACCGTCTGTTTCGCCTTCTGCCACGGTCTTTTATTGTCCTGGGCAGACTGAAAAATGGGAAGCCAATGACCATCATCTCAAACACAGGGGCATGGCTCCTAAATGTTGGAAAAGCTGACCTGAACCAATAGGAAAAAAAAAAATGCATTCAATATCTTGGGTCAAAAATTGGAGAACTAACCCACAATTACACTCATTCTACAAAGATCTCAAGGCAACTAAATGGAGACAAGATGTCTTTTTAACAAATGGTGCTGGAGCAACTGGATAGTGATAAGGAGAAAAAACAAAAATGGACCTCAACCCTTCCCTTACTCCATTACAAAAGTCACCTCAAAAATGGATGATAAACCTATATGTAAAGGTGAAACCATTAAAAACCTAGGGGAAAAAAGCAAAAGAAAATCTTTGCGACATTGGGTCATACCAAGACTCCTTAAAAAGTACATAAAAAGCATAAACTAGAAGAGAAAAAATTGATCAAGATTAAATACTGTTGCTCTTTGAAAGACACGGTTAAAATGACAACAACAACAAAAAAGTCTACCTACCAACTGTAAAACATATAACTGATTTCACATTATTTAAGGAACTCTTAACAATTTAATTAAAAGAAGACAGGTCACTATAAGCTAACTAACTTGGATGTAAATTAAATAAATAAAAATAAAAAATAAAAAGAAGAAGACAGGTAACCCCATTTAAAAATTGGGTGAGGGGAGCCTGGGTGTTTTGGTCGGTTGGGCAGCTGGCTTCAGCTCAGGTCATGATCTCACGGTGCGGGAGTTCGAGCCCTACATGGGGCTCTGTGCTGACAGCTCAGAGCCTGAAGCCTGCTTCGGATTCTGTGTCTCCCTCTCTCTCTACCCCTCCCCTGCTCACACTCTGTCTTTCTGTCTCTCAAAAATAAATAAACATTAAAAAATTTTTGAATAAAAAAAAATTGGGCAAAACATTTGAATAGACTTTTCACAAAAGAAGTTGTAAGAATGGGCAAAGAAGCACATGAATGATGTTCAACACCACTAGACATCAGAGAAAAGCAAATTCAAACCACAATGAGACATCATCACATATGCACTAAAATAGCTCATGTTAGAAAGACTGACAATACCAAGTTTGGGCAAGGATGAGGAAAATGGAAACCCTCATGTACTACTGGTGAGAATGAAAATGGCATGGCCATCCTGTACAGCTGTATCTTATAAAGTTGCACATACATTTACCCCATGACCTAGCAATTCTGGTCCTGGGTATTTACCCAGGAAATGAAAGCATATGTCCACATTAAAGCATATATGTAGGGGCGCCTGGGTGGCTCAGTCGGTTAAGCGTCCGACTTCGGCCCAGGTCATGATCTCGCGGTCCGTGAGTTCGAGCCCTGCGTCAGGCTCTGTGCTGACAGCTCAGAGCCTGGAGCCTGCTTCGGATTCTGTGTCTCCCTCTCTCTCTGCCCCTCCCCTGCTCATGCTCTGTCTCTCTCTGTCTCAAAAATAAATAAACATAAAAAAAAAAAAAGCATACATGTGAATGTTCACAGCAGCATTACTTACTCATAATAGCCAAAACCAGAAGCAACAAAATATGTCCATTAACTGGTGAACAGATATATCACAAACAAATTGTGATAATATGCTTACCATGGAATACTATTTAGCAAGTAAATAAACGATTAACAAAAGCAACAAAATAGAAGAATCTCAAGTGAAAGAAAAATTGAAACCATAGTGACAGAACGCAGGTTAGTGCTTGCCCAGAGCAAGAGAGAGGAGAAGGTTTCAAATACAGAGTCTCAAGAAAACTTTAAGGGTGAGGGAACTTTCTATGGATTCTGATGTTGATTCTGATACAACTACCACAATTTTCAAGCTGGTGAATTTAATAATTTTTTTTTTTACATTTATTCATTTTTGAGAGACAAAGAGAGACAGAGCACAAGCAGGGGAGGGGCAGAGAGAGAGGAAGACACATAATCTGAAGCAGGCTCCAGGCTCCAAGCTCAGCACAGAGCCCGACGCAGGGCTCGAACTCACAAACCGCGAGATCGTGACCTGAGATGAAGTTGGACGCTTAACCGACTGAGCCACCCAGGCACCCCTCAAGCTGGTGAATTTAAAACAAATGAGCAAAGAACCTTGTTTCTGTAAGTTCTACAGGCACATGAAAAGAATATGTGGTCTCTACTTGTAAAGTATAAAATGTACACGCATATACACACTTGATTGCTGATAATACAAATTCTTTCTTGAGTATTCAATCATACTAGGTCTTAAAGAGTCACACTGTTTCAAAAAATGCACAGGCAACATCTTTAGCTACCTTTTGGAAGGTTACAAACTAGATGAGGTCTAGAAAATTATTAAAATACATGTGTCTGGGTGGCTTAGTAGGTTAAACATCTGACTATGGCTCAGTTTGTGATCTCAAAGTTCGTGAGTTCAAGTCCCATGCAAAGCTCTGCTTTGATGGTGCAGAACCTGCTTAGGATTCTCTCTCTCTGCTCCCCTCTCCCACTTATTCCCTCTCTCTCTCTACCTCTCTCTGCCTTTCAAAATGAAAAATCAAATGAAAACTTTAAGAAAAAACTTTTTTGAGAGGAAGAGAGAGCACACGAGCAGGGGAGGGGCAGAGAGAGGGAGGGAGGGAGGAAGGGGGGGAGAGAGAGAGAGAGAGAGAGAGAGAGAGAGAGACTCTTAAGCAGAGCCTGTCTCAGGGCATGATCTCACCATGACATTGTGACCTGAACGGAAATCAAGTCAGAGGCTTAACTGACGAAGCCACCCAGGCGCCCCTAAAACCTTGTTATACAGATACAAACACATGTTTTGAAAACTCTGAACTCACAGTTTTAATTACTTGATCCCACTCCAAAAGCAAACAGAAACAAAACTAGCTGGCGGTTCTGGGTTGAGGTTCTGGCTGCTGCGGACACAGCCAGGGACTCACCTCTGCGGTTCCGTCCTTGAAGCTCTCGCTGTAAGTGCTGTCGGGGGTGCTGCGCTGGTCTTCCTTGAGGTAGGTGCTATGGCTGGCCATGGAGGGCACACCATACTGGGTCTGTTCAAAGATAAGCACACGTTGCTCCTCGCCATCTCCCCGGGGACAGTGCACGGGTGGGGCCATGAACACGGGCGTGAAATCTTCAGCTTTCACCACCGTGATTCCGGACACCGGGATGATGGCCGGGCTCTCGGAGATGTTTGTGCTGTACTGTTCCCGTTTCGAATTCTCCAGGTGGTCTTGATTTAGGGAAAGGTTTACTGGAACAGTCTTTAGGACCTGCACTCGGTTTTCTCCTCCAGTCAGATTACTCTGGGCTTCGCTGGTGCCAAGGCAGTTTCTGCATGTTTAAACCCCCCCACCCCCCCCCAACATAACAGAATTAGAAAGATCACCACTTTGCGACTCCTAATAAAATAACGGGGGCCAGCAACAACCAGTGGATGTTAATGCCATTAGGGAAAAAGCTGATGGTGAACTTTACAAGGGAATGCAGTGGATCTTCGCATGACTAGAGGTAGGACAGTTGTTCCCGGAACCATGCAAATTACCCCGCCTATAAAGTGCAGTTGGGAAAAGGGGAAGAAAAAAAAAAAAAAGTTGACCCTGAATTTTGGCAAGCCTTAGATCTAACTCTGTATTTCTCTCAGGAAATGCAGAAGGATGGAAGAATAACTTAAACAAAATCAAAAGGAAACAATCATACAAACAGAATGTAACACATCTTACTGACCTGGTTTCTTCAATAAGTTAGAGGCATGAAAAAAAGAAAGGAGGGTGGGAAGCTTGCTCTAGAGTAAGAGATTTGAAAGACATAACAATCAAACAGGATGAGTAGATCTTGTTTGGATCCTGATTTGAAAAGCCAAAGAGGCGTTTTGAGACAATGGGATCTTTGAGGCAATTGACTATGGACCTCAAGTGAGGTGATTATTAAGGAAGTACTGTTCATTTAGTTACGATAATGATTGTGAGATTATGTAATAAAAGTCCTTTTTATTTAGAGATATAAATGAGAAGTAGCTAGAGATGAAATGACATGATGTCAGGAACTTATTTCAAAGACTACTGCAATAAAAAAAGAGAGAGAGAGAAAGAGAAAAGGTAGACATGAAGCAGGTGTAACCAAAAACTACCACTGCTGAACCTGGAGAATGGGGTGGGTATTTGGGGGTTCATTATACTGTCCTCTTTACTCCTGGATATGTTTGAAAACTTTCAAAAGAAAAAGTTATAAAATAGTTGTTTTTAGGGGCACCTGGGTGGCTCAGTCAGTTGAGCGTCCGTCCGGCTTCAGCTCAGGTCATGATCTCACGGTTTGTGAGTTCAAGCCCCATGTTGGGCTCCGTGCTGACATCTTGGAGCCCGGAGCCTGTTTCGGATCCTGTGTCTCCCTCTCTCTGTGCTCCTCCCCTGCTCATGCTCTGTCTCTCTCTCTCTCTCTCTCTCTCTCTCTCTCTCAAAACTAAATAAACACTAAAAAAAATTTTTTTTTAAGGTGGGGGTGGGACAATAACTTGAAGGGGGGCAGTGGGAAGAATATATTTCACTGTTCTGTGGGCTAACCTCCTTGCAGGAAAGACAAAAGGCAATGAGAATTTATCATTAAAATATTTTCACTAAATGGAGAAACAACACGAGCTCATTGATACCCTTAGCACTGAATTACTTTTGGAGCTTCAGAGAGTGGCATCACTGGGCTTATGTAAAACAAGCTCTCTCAGATCTCAGACCTCCTGACTGGTACAAAGAGAAAGGAAAGGATTTGGAAAATTAGTTCTCACCAGGCTAGGATAAAATACTTTCCATTTATACTACAGAATTCTGGGAGAGAGCAGAAGCAAAGAGAAATTCGTCAATGGAAGAGTATTGTGGATAGCACAGTGATTTTACTAGCAAAGTCCCTGTGGTCAGTAAAATTTGGGGCACCTCTCATTTATAGATTATTCTGAATGATATGGAGGAAAAAAAATACATATTTTGTATGGAGCCCTATCTCCAATGTCTGTGTTTTGTTTTGTTTTGTTTTGTTTTGTTTTTAACTAGCGTGTGTGTGTGTATGAGTGTGTGTGTGCTTTAAATTAGTTAGCCCACTAGTGTGGGCTAACTGGCATCTCTCATAGAGAGAGAACTATTTGAATAAAATTGCTTCTTCCCAGAATTGACCTCTCCTGGCCCCTCTGAGCTTGCCTAGCTCTCCAGCAGGACTGTGCATTTTTGGCTTTGATTTCTCAGACAAAACCTCAAAGTGAATGAAGCTTGAGGAAAGAATGGCTCCGACATGAATAAAGACACCAGAAAAGTACCTAAACTTTTCTGAGTCTGTCACAAATCTGTAGAAATCATTCCAGAAAGTAATTCTTTAAAGAATAAAATTGCAAGGCTACATTCTGGCTTTGACCTGCTTTCATGGTCAGAGCAATACAGTGAATCTGCATATAAGACACGGTGAAATTTACAAATTACGTTTAATCTGAGTCCAATTAGCTAGATGATGCCAAACCCAGACCACGCGTTTATGTCAGCATTTCCTAATACTCCATTGTTTAGAATATTGCATGGAATGTTAACAGATGGTCCTCAAAGACAGGAGTCTGTGATAAAATCAGTATTCAAAAAAACAAAAAACAAAAACAAAAACTGCCATAACAAACCCAGCCTGGGTGGGTCACAAACATCATGAACACAGAAAAGGCTCCCAGGCATTCCTTCGCCTGTTTCATTATAACCCGGAATTTCCCAAACTAATTTTACCCCAGACTCTTTTGTGGAGGATTAACTAGTAATACATGTGGATAACGTCCTGTGAGTTGGATGTACAAGGGCTGGTTGGTCTACACTGATTAGCTACCAAAGCAAGTGTCCAGTTTCTACTCTTCTGGACTTTTATAAGCACACACCTACTGCCTTCGCCAACAGATTCAAAGCTAACCAACTCCTCTGCGCTTAGAGTCCATTTCAAGCTAAATTTGTTAATTCTTTAATCCACGCAAGACACACGAATCCCAAACAAGAGACACAAGTCAAAATATTTGGGGCATTCTTATAAGCCAACACAAGCGAACTATAGAGTCGTATACATCTATATTGTAAATAAATATAAATAAACCTATATTATAAACTATAAACCTAGTTGAACCATCGATATTACCACACGATGAGGAAATAATAGACACAGCATCATCCTAGAATGTGTAACTGCCTCTGCAGAACAGCGGTAGTTTTAGAAGCTAGAGAACTTCAGAAAGACATCCAAAAAATGGCTGATTATAGCAAAGTAAGAATTATCGTGAGCTACTGGCTCACCCGCAATAGAATTTAAAGTTGAACCAAATATTGCAATAGGAGGAAAAAAACGCAAGACTACAAACGGTACATTAAATATGTGTTTTAAAAAATCTGGGTCATGCCAGACTTTCAGTTATTTTTCCAAGTACCAACTTCTATATACAGACAGTTATAATGACACCATGCAAGCACCTGGCACCTTAATTCCTGAATATGCTGCAGATCAAATGATATCCTTCCAAATTACATTCGACCTGAAGTCTACGAGGTCATAATTAGTCTACACAAGGTAGTTTTGTCTGTACCCCACTGCCAGTTTTTTTGAAGCTGCTCCACCGAAATCACAAAATAACCATGAAAATACGATGTTGTTCTAAAAGATGCTGTAACGACAAATGGTCTCTTCTGTCTATTATGACGCAGACGGAGCACATATTTTAGACATGTTTTTCCCTGACCCTTCTATGAATACTGGTATACGATTTAGCAGACTGCACCTGCTTGGCTTAATAAATACCGGCTAACGGGAGGAAAAGTCACAAGATCTGAAGAGTATCAGGCTCCTTCTCCCTGTCATCACTGCTACCAACAAGGGTCCCAAGACAGCATCAGAAGATTCCTTTAAAACCGCACATCAGATGCAGACAGCCTTAACCTTTGCTAAGGGTGTACTTTGGAGGTGATACACAGCCCAGGGCTGCTGGCTGGTGGGGTGGTTCCTGCTGCCATTCGTGTCATAAGCAGATCCCATCAAGGCCAGGTAAGATCTGGATATATGAGCTAGCAGGGGATTTCATTTCTCCTGACTTCATATTTCCATATGAGAGAATCACCAGGAGCGCGTGGGTGGCTCAGTTGGTCGGGCCGTTGACTTTGGCTCAGGTCATGATCTCACTGTTCTTGAGTTTGAGCCCTGCATCAGGCTCTGTGCTGACAGCTCAGAGCCTGGAGCCTGCTTTGGATTCTGTGTGCGTGTGTGTGTGTGTGTGTGTGTGTGTGTGTGTGTGTGCGCGCACGCGCAAGTGCACCCCTCCCCCACTCACTCTCTCTGTCTCCCAAAAAGATAAATAAATGTTAAAAATTTTTTTTTTTTTTTTAGGAAGAAACACCAAAGGAAAAGCACTGCGGTTTCTCCCCTATTCCTCTGCAGGAAAGGGATATATCTGATTAATGAGTTTGGGAGAAGTAGCTGAGTAAGGTGGTTCAGTCCCTTCTGGTTTCCTCTTTATGTTTGGCTCATCCCAGCCATACAGAGAGGACTCCAGTCACCCCTGCCATACCACAGTGGCCTGTCCCTTCAGGGAGGCTTGCAGTCCTGCCTGAGACTAGGTGAATAGACATACCTAAGTCAGGATTGACATGTTACAAGCCGAGATTCAAAAATGGCATTCTCTGTTGGCTTAATCAGAAAGAAAACTGATTTTTTTTTTCCTTTTCAATTTCAATCTGTCTGTGTCTTGTGTTTCAATCGGTTCTTAATTCAGGATCGCAGGAAAAGGGGTGTCATATAATGATCTCCTAACATCTGTCCTGCCCCTGCCCCCTCACAGTATGTGCTGCCATGCCTGGTTCTCTGCCAACCGCCTCCTGGAGTGAGAAACAGCCCAGTCTCCTTCCTCTCCCCCTCATCAAAAGCAATCTCCATGGGGCTCACTCCCTCAAGGGCTTGATCATAATTACCCAGCCATGGGATCGATCACAAGAGCTGACCCCGGCAGTACGCTATCTTGCCAGCATTTCACCTCTAACTCGGGATATCCAGGCTTCCAGGAAGGGGGTACATCAAGAACCTGCTGATGACCCTTTGGATGCAATTTGTGGTCCCTACTGAGAGATCCAGTTTTGGTCAAGACTCTTCAAAGACAGAGAGAAGAGGCTAAACTTTTTGGTCCCATCTTCCCTTAAGAACAAAAATTATAGCTGAATACTACGGTTTTCAAAAACACTGAAAAAGAGTTATTTGGGGAGCCAGGCATATCCCTTTATATAATACCATACCTTTTATCCGGCTCTTCCTGGCTGTCACTTGCTTTGCTCACAGATAGCAGCCTCTTGTCTCGAGGAACCTAGAAATATCACCAACCATCAGTGAGATTCACATAGATGCAATTGTGACCTATGTGCAGAGCTAGAGACCAGCAGAAGCAAAGAAATGAGGTGGAATGTTCTCCGGGAAGAGGTGGCAAATTTGCTACAGGCAGGTGATGGTTAAAGGCGAGTAGCCCGAGTGGCAATGACAATGCATCAGACACACAGGGGTGATGATAAACAGAAGGCCATAATGATCATGATTCTGCTACGCACTGCTGACAGGGGCAATTCTGCCTGCACCCGACCACCGCCCAAGCCCGCCCCACCTTGGAAGTGAATGAGGGGAAAGGAACACCATGTGTGGATGGGGAATCCAGACGCTGAAGCAGACAGAAATCATCACGCGTTAACAACAAGCATCCTGTTGAACAACAGGGGCTGACCCGCCACTCTGATGAGGGACTTTGGGTGCTGACACGGAGGACAGCAAACCAGACGTGGGGCTACACTATCTAGTGGGAGAGCAGCATCTAATATACCTGGGCCAGCCTTTAACCACCATCCCCATAGAGTTTGTAGCTTTGCTTCCAAATTCTTCTTCTAATGCACTTTTAGTGCTGTCTTTGCAACTACAATGCCAGCACATTACCTGAAAGGTTATTGAAAAGTACTACTAGAGAAAAGAAACTCCTGCCAGCTGCATTTCTGACCACCATCCAATCACCCTACTGCAGCACGGGTCATTCACATATCTCTGCCATAGTTTCCAAACATATGAATAGTGGGTTTAGATTTGGTGGGTTGGTTGGATGAATGTTTTGTTTGTTTATATATTTTGTTTTGTTTTGTTTTGCTACATCTCCATATCTTCGTGCTAGCCAAACACCTTTGCACTCAAATGCAGCCCTCACTATTTTGACATAAAAGAGCTTTTATGAGAAGCATCCCTCTTCTGGGTTCTTCTAGAAATTCTTACAGTTTCCACTCACCTGGATACGTACGCAAGCCAGTCAGATGGATGAAGGAGACAGCATAGCAAGGTGGCTACCAGTCAAGACACAGACCTGTCTGGGTTCGAATCTCAGCTCTATCAGTAACTAAGCTCTGCCTCACTTTCCCCATCGGTAAACCATGCTCAATGGCAGTACTATAACTCAGAGCGTTTTTCAGGAAAATTAAATGAGTTAATTTTTTTCAAAGTACTTGGAGTATCTAATATTTTATAATATTTGTTAAATAAAAATAAGCCAATTTTAAGTCTTCTGTTCACGTGCCAGTGTCGAGGGTCTACAGTATACATTGTAGATAGAAATGAGGTGAATGAGGGGCAACTGGGTGGCTCAGCTGGTCAACCGTCCAACTTCGGCTTAGGTCATGATCTCGTGGTTGGTGAGTTTGAGCCCTGCATAGGGCTGTCTGCTATCAGCACAGAGCCTGCTTCCAATCCTCTGTCCCCTTCTTTTTCTGCCCTCCCCCTGTTCGTTCACACTCTTTCAAAAATAAATAAATAT